TATCTTAATATTCTAAGTAAGCTTGTTCTACGCATAAAAATACACCATATCGGCATACGTTTACTTTATAATTTTAAATCTTAAGAAAAATACGCTTAATTTTGAATTTTTGATCAAAAATTCCAAAATTAAGCATATTTTTCTTAAAAATTAAAATTATAAAGTAAACGTATGCCGATATGATGTATTTTTATGCGTAGAACAAGCTTACTTAGAGTATTAAGATATAATTAATTAGTAACATTTTGAGGATCATAATATTTTTTATAATTTTATTAATAAAATTATAAAAAACATTACTATCCTCAATATTTTACTAATTAATTATATCTTAATACTCTAAGTAAGCCTGTTCTACGCATAAAAATATACCATATCGGCATACGTTTGCTTTATAATTTTAAATCTTAAGAAAAATATGCTTAATTTTGAATTTTTGATCAAAAATTCCAAAATTAAGCATATTTTTCGTAATATTTAAAATTATAAAGTAAACGTATGCCGATATGGTGTATTTTTATGCGTAGAACAAGCTTACTTAGAGTATTAAGATATAATTAATTAGTAAAATTTTGAGGATCTTAATATTTTTATAATTTTATTAATAAAATTATAAAAAATATTACTATCCTCAATATTTTACTAATTAATTATATCTTAATACTCTAAGTAAGCTTGTTCTACGCATAAAAATACACCATATCAGCATACGTTTACTTTATAATTTTAAATCTTAAGAAAAATATGCTTAATTTTTAATTTTTGATCAAAAATTCCAAAATTAAGCATATTTTTCTTAAAAATTAAAATTATAAAGTAAACGTATGCCGATACAGTGTATTTTTATGTGTAGAACAAGCTTACTTAGAATATTAAGATATAATTAATTAGTAAAATTTTAAGGATCATAATATTTTTTCATAATTTTATTAATAAAATTATAAAAAATATTACAATCCTCAATATTTTACTAATTAATACTATCTTTATGCTCTAAGTAAACTTGTTCTACGCATAAAAATACACCATATCAATATATGTTTACTTTATAATTTTAATTTTTAAACCGCATATTATATCAATTAGTAGAAACTGCGCCAAAAATTTTAATGCAAGCTTTGATCGAAGACAAATTCGACGAAAATTTTTTTATTCGAATTCTACAGAACTGTTGAATTCGAATAAAAAAATTTTCATCGAATTTGGTCAAGTGGGTGCCAAGTTATCTTCTATCAAGGCTTTTAAGAATTTTTAAAACGCATACAATTAGTAGAAACTGCACCAAAAATTTTAATGCAAGCTTTGATCGAAGATAACTTGGCACCCACTTGACCAAATTCGATGAAAATTTTTTTATTCGAATTCTACAGTTCTGTAAAATTCGAATAAAAAAATTTTCATCGAATTTGGTCAAGTGGGTGCTAAGTTATCTTTGATTAAAGTTTTTGAGAATTTTTAAAACGTACATCAATTATAGTACGCCAAAAATTTTAATGCAAGCTTTGATCGAAGATAACTTGGCACCCACTTGACCAAATTCGATGAAATTTTTTTTATTCGAATTCTACAGAACTGTAGAATTCGAATAAAAAAAATTTCATCGAATTTGGTCAAGTGGGTGCCAAGTTATCTTCGATCAAAGTTTTAAAAAAATTTGTAAACAATAGAAACTTACTCGATTTTGATTGGTCGATCATGAGGTCGCCATGGCAACGGGTCGCTAAAAAATAAAGCCCTTTTACTATTATCTTAACTCTTATAAAAAACTTAGAATAATTTCTATAACAAATACAAAACTTACAAAAACTAACTATCAAACATACTTTAAACCTTCTTTTAAAAATGTTTCAACGTAGATTTCCTCATTATTTACCTAAGCATGACTCAACTAGCTTAATTAACAATACTCTTGACTGGTTTCAAGCTTTTCCAATTAATGCTGAAGCAGAAAAACAAACTGAATTTCTAACACCTCTTGGTACTCAAATTCTTGATTTTATCAAACCATTTCTTTTAAATTTCTATCCTGGTCGAATTATTCAATCTAAAGCTCCTAATTAACAAGCTACCAAAAGTAATTTCGATAATTTATTACAACACATGGCTTCTCAACAACCACAATTCTTTACTAATTTTATTCACCAAAATTTAATTAATGACAACAATACCAATATATCACCTAACTATCTTTTATTTATTTTAAGAAATATTTTATCCAACTTTACTACCGTCCTTTTTACTAAACTTAATTATAAAAAAATATTTCATTCAAATTATTTTTTACCTCCTTACTCTATTCCCAAATGTTCTCAAATTGCAATTAATCTTGCTCGCCTACATCTTTTTCTTCTAAATCATACAAAACTATCAACTGTACTAAATACTTTGAAGATTTAAATCTTAAACCTATTCGTATATCACTTCATTTCAATACTATATTTAACAACTCCGATCAATTACTTCTTAAAATCAAAAATGACACCAAATACAATATTTACATTACTTTCGATATCTCTTCACAAAATTTTTTAAAAACCTTTTATATTCCTTCTTTTAAAACTTACTGCACAACATTTGATATATGGTTCTTAAAATTTTTTAACTCATACAAAAAACAATTATTACATATTAATCAACAAAAAGTTTATAACTTTATAAAACACCAAATTATTACTTATCTTTCCAATGAACTTAAAAAACTACTTCCAAACTCCTACCAATTTCCTATAGTTAACTCATTACAAGAAAGGACAAAAGCTTCAATCAAGGCATCATTATACCATATCTATACTTGTACAAGCAATACTTGCACTATTCTTCCTAATGATATTCCTCATACATTTAAAAATTTAACTTCATTTTATTTTAAAAACTCATTTAAACCCTATATCTATCCTTATTTAAATTTCACTATCTTTTAACCAAACCAATCTCTTACTGCTACTTTCTCTAAACCTTTTCTATTCAAGCCTCTTAAAAAATTAGCTAACTCAGCAGAACAACAATTTATACAACTTAATAATACTTCTACAAATTTTAAACATAAATCCTTTTTCTACTACACTTATCTAAAATATTATTTAATAGCTGCTACTAAAAATGACAACATTAACTCTAGTTTAAAAAATGCTCTTCAAACTACTTTTATTAAAACAACTGACCCACATACTCTCGCTAAAATTATATCTTATTTTGATATTATACAATTTTCCAATTCACCATTCTCTCAAATTAAAAACAAATATTACCAATCCTATCTCCCACAAGCAGTACAATATATCTCTAAAAAACTTCAAACTCCTAAAGTTTCTACCAATCTCTTCTTTCCTGAATGAAAAATACCAGATACTGCTTTTAAAGATCTTTTTCGTCCAATGAACACAAACCTCTCATCTACTATATTTGCTTAAATATCATTATCTCTCAACAATATAATATATTACTGTTATTTATATAAACTTCTAACAATACACCTTCTTTACTATTACTGTCTTCCTAATAATCAGATACCATAACTATTAATTTATATTTCTATTCAAAATATATTAACTCTTTATTTACTATATCTACCTAAGTACTTTTCTTCTGTAACTACTTAAATTTTTAACAATTCACCTATCTTTCTTGTTATTAAGTACAATTTGATGCTATCTCTACATATTATTTAGCTTTACTTATATATAAAATTATAACCCAATATTTACCTCTACAATATTTATTTTATGACTATATAACTATCACAACTGACTACTATATACTATTATTCAATCTTTTCACAACAACTTTATTCTAGATACTTACCTATTTATATTGATATATTTATATACCTAATCTTTCTATATACTTATACTATCTATCATCTTACTCATAAACTATATTTTATATAGTTTGGTCAAACCCAGGTGAGCCATGGCTTACCTAGTCGATCTATATCATTCTAGGCGAACCATGACCACTCTGGTAGGTTTAGGTCGCAGATAAAGTAGTCTAAGCTTCTATTCTTGCTATCCGTTGAATATGAAGTTTATATGTAATTTCTTTCTGTAAAGGAGTTTATGTAATTTCTTTCTGTAAAAGAGTTCAAATAAATTTCAATAAAGTTAGAAGCATGGCTTCACCTTGAACATTAAAAAAAAAAAAAAAAAAGATTATTATATCTTACAAAAAGTATTAATACTATTAATTTATAATTTACATGATATTTCTTAAATAGAATCAATGATTAGAATATTAAACTTTATTTTTTATTAGATTAAAAATTTTTATTCTAAATCTATATATTTATATCTCTATTATAAATATATTAAAAAGAAATTAAATTATATAATAAGTATTAGAATAAGAAAATGTACTTCATTCAGATAATAGAGATAAATTTGTTAAAAAGTTATTCAGAAAACACTAAAGCTCTGGTCACATATTTAGTTCAGCCTAAAAATCTATGTTGCCAGGGCCTTGTCGAAAAAGAAAATGATATGCTCCAAACTAGAGGTTGGAACCAGTTTTAAAAATTCGAGTTTATCACATAAAAATTCGAGTTTATCACACCAAAATTCGAGTTTATCACTTCAATCATTAATGATTAAAGTGATAAACTCGAACTTTGGTGTGATAAACTCGAATTTTTATGTGATAAACTCGAATTTTTAAAACCGGTTCCAATCTCTACTCCAAACAAAACTAGTTGCAATTGGAGTATTGTAGTTTGTATGTTTATTATTATTATATTGATATGAAATTTTATTATATAAATAAAATTGATTTTATAATAAAGCTTAGGATTTTGCTAACTAAAATAAACATCACCAGGGTGTTATAAGCTAACTCACATCGGAGTTATCAAGTAAAATGTTCAGATCCTCCAAAAATCTAATCCTAACTAACATTCGGACCTTTATATTAAAACCTTTGCTTCACCTAAAATCGCATCTTAGCCCTAAAATTATAGGTGGCGATGGTCACTTTTTTGAACAAAAAAAATATTTTTTTTTTGTCATAAAAACAAACTGCGCATCAAAGCTTGTTCTAGTCTAAAAAGCAATTTATTGTACGAGACGCTATGGATGTGTTTTACACGATAAATATAAAAATCAATAAACATTTAATACGAAAGTAAAAATCGATAAACATTTTTAATATGAAAGTAAAAATCAATAAACATTTTTAATATGAAAGTAAAAATCGATAAACATTTTTAATACGTATGAATATAAAAATCAATAAACATTTTTAATACGTATGAATATAAAAATCGATAAATATTTTTAATATGAAAGTTGATAAACATTTTTAATACGTATGAATATAAAAATCGATAAATATTCTAAATTTGTTCAAAATTAAAAAAAATCATAATATTATGCATGTATAAATTATTATTGGTTAATTTTCACTGATTGAGAAATAAAGTAACTCATTTTCAAATTTACAAATGATCTACTTTAATTATTGTGCTTTGCAAAAAGATGTGAATACTGCAGATTATTTTTTCATGTGAGAATCGAGATTTGCGATTTCAAAGAATTATAAAGATTTTAAATCTATGTACTTAAAATGTAATGCTTTATTAAATTACAAATAAAGTTTCTAAAAACCGTATTACTTTCTTTCATATTCTTATTTTGGTTTCTGCATGTAGTAATGACTTGAAATGGCATATAATTTTTTTACACTATGATAACTATTCAATATCTCAAATTGCAAAACTCCTTTATATTAGTAAAAGCTTGGTGTATAAAGTGTTGAGAATATATAAAAAATAGGGAACTGTAACTAATCCTTGGCGACAAGTACCTAGACGGCATAAAACTTTTAATCAAAGTGATATGAAGGTAGCATGAGATTTTTTTATTGAATTGTATTTATATTACTGCATATTAATTTTGTTAAATAATAGATTCTACGAAATATTATTTAAGAAAATGTAAGCTTATATCTTGATGAAATTGCATTGCAAATAGAAATTCGATCAGGCAAAAAAGTCTCAATTTCTACTCTGTGGTGTTTGTTGGCTTATTGTGAAATATCACGAAAAAAGGTATTATTTTTTTTTATATAATCAGTACAAGCACAGTGTAAAGTAATATAATCTTCAATCTTTTTATTTTAGCTATATAAAGCAGACAAAGAGTGTAACAAACTACTCTGTAGTGCCTTTATGGCATGCATTGGTTCCCAATACAAAAGAGAGCAATAAGTTTTTTTAGACAAATCATCAAAAGATGAACAAACTATTGTTAGAGCATATAGATATTTACAAATAAATACTAAAGCTGTTAAAAAAATAGTATTTTTTTGTAATAAGCAGTATACAATCTTGCTCGCACTTACTTTAGATGGCATTATTGCTGTTGATATTATAAAAAACAGTTGTACAAAGTTGAAATTTAAAGAATTTGTAATTATTCAAGTGGTATGTAATTATAATAAAAGTATTTATTTATACAAATCATAAATATACTTTTAATTGTCTTTTAGCTACCACAAATGAATATATTCCCACATATAAGTAGTGTTTTAATACTTGATAATACTAGAATACATCATGATGATAGATTGTTAGAATATTTAAATGCATTCAGTATATATGTAGAGTTTATTCTTCTATATTTTCCTGATTTCAATCTGATAGAATTAGCTTTCTCAACTATAAAAAGTTTTTTAAAAAAATATCAGTATTTCGTAGAAAGTTGTTTGGATCCAAAATATTTATTATTGGTTGCATACTCCCAAATTACTTTTGAATTTTCTAATAATTTTTTTAATGTAGTGGGTTATAAGTAAAAGTTTTTTCTATAGGAAATATATTGTTTACTGATGTAAAATATATATTGTATCTTGCGGCATAATTACGAAGAGTTTGCTGTGCACCAATCATATCTATATCACATTTTTTAAAGTCTTCATTCGATAGTTTAGAAAGCAATCGTATAGAGATCTTCTGTTGTTAAAATTTTAATAAAAATCCTTGATAATAATTTCCAGTATCTTCACATTCATAAATATGCTTTAAAAAATCTTCAAGTGTAGGTTTAAAACTTGGTTATAAAGATGGCTAAATAGGTACTTAAAAAGGTGTTCCATGAAATTGTGATAGAAAATATGATACGAATAGACTGTAAATTGGCGATGGAATATAGAATTGTCCTGGATATATTGGATGTTAAAAAAAATTTGGCTGTTGTATTAAATTAGATTGTAATAGAGATGTTGCTTGTAATTGTGCCAAAGATGAAAGAATTTGTAATGGTGCTGATAGTGAAGTAGCTTGTAATAGTGCTTATAGTAACGTAGCTTGTAGTGATGCTGAAGGCAAAGATATTTGTAATGGTGCTAAAGATGGAGTAATATGTAATGGCACTAATAGTAAAGATACTTGTAATATTGAATATGAAGAAGCTTGTAATGATGATAATGGCGATGATTCTTGTAATAATTCTAAAGGTGATAGTATTAAAGATTGTCTTTTTTTGACTAATATTTATATATGAATATTGGATGCGTAGATAGTTCAGTTGGTGATGACATCGCTTTATTTTTTATATAAAATCAAAAAATATATAAAGTTATTTTCTTGCAAATTCATAATGGTTGAAGAAAATATATAATAAAGTGGTAAAAGTTGATTCAAATTTAATGAATAAAAAAAGCATGTGATAATAAAAAAATTGGTTTAATTTCTTTTACAATTTCAGATGCCTAAATTAAAAGCATCATGAATGTGATTTCGATATGGTTTTCTTTATCACTATTCTTATTTAAACAAGATTAGTTATAAATAAGATAATGATTTTTTTTACAAATTTCCAAAACATTTTTTGCTATTAAGGATTCATTTGGAGATAAATTCGAAACTTTAAAAATAGAATTCTTGTTTTTAAAATTTGTAATAGTATCATTATCTGAATTTTTGTCTGACTCAAGATCCTAATTATATAGACATATATTATCATTATTATTATTTATACACTATAAACTCACAAAAAAGATCATAATTACATTAATAAAAGTTACAAAAAAAGCTATATTGATATTTTTAGAAGTATATTTCCAGTAATTAGCTTGGAACTTTTTGAAGTCATGATTATCTACTAATTGAGTACCTGCTTCTGTTGCTTTTTCAGATTTAAATGTAATACAATAATGACTTGATTCAATCGAACTTCTTTTGTCAAGGTTTTAATATTTATGTGAAGTTCTGAAAGCAATTCATCAATTGTTGATACCTTGGATGTATACCATTTGGTGGAAATAGTTGTACCATTTCCTAACTTAATAACAATCCCATAATTATACTCATATTCACTATCTTCATCAGATAAAGATTTATTGTCATTATGTTTATTATTTCTATCATCAGTAAACTTCCATTCCCTTTCTTCAAATTCGTTAGGTTCATCTTCTGGAGTAGTAAGATAATATGATTCAATTTCTGAAAAACTTGCTATATTCATAACTGTGGGAGCTGCGAGGGCTGCAGAGGTTGATATTGCTTTATGTTTTTTTGCCTTTTAAGATAATCTTAATAATATACTATTGCAATGAGAACATAAAGAAAAATTAAAAGCTTCTTTTGAACTTAGAGAGTAATTGTAAACCTCTATTTTTTAACGAATGTATTCCACTTGTTCTTTTATTCAGTTTGGCTTAAAGACTTGTGTAAATGCATATTTGACAGCTTCTGTTCGATTATTCTTATGTGGCACATCTGTTAAGTTACAATTGCATCTTTGCTGTTGCAAATCAATCCCACAATACAAACATTTACGACAGCTAAAACAAGTTCTATGGCGATATTTTAGTTTTGTCTCTTGAGCATCAGTCATTAGAATGGTATGTTGAAAAGATTAATTGATATCTATATATATAATGAGCAAATAAATCAACAAAAAATTAAAACAAATATATATATAGCTTTTTATTGATTAATTGCATAATTAATATATACGTAATTATGATTTTATATAGATTCTTAAATTTGGATTTTATATTTAAAATCTCAATGATTCTCCGCAACCATCATCACTAAAATCTAGGGATGGGCAAAATTTTTACATATTCTTAACATATTTTTATATATTCTTACATATTCTTACATATTGTTAATAAATATTATCATTATAATAAAATTGGCAAAAAGTTTTTAATTTAATATTTATTTATTAAAACATTCATTATTATGTTGTAAATTATTGTCTGAATATAATTAAATATCAATTTTTTCCAAAGATAACCAGTTCTCCAAAGTTACTCTATAATTAGTATGTGTATTTTGAATAGAAGATTCGATCATAGCGTTACTAAAAGTGATTTGATCATTAACATTAAAATTATTGATATTTTCAATTGTTTGCATGATATTTTCTTCGTCAGATTGTTCTAAAACATTATCATTGTCTACATCATCGAATTCAACATCGGATATATTTTCTTCATCAGAATTTGTCCTATTAACCTGAACACTTTGTTCAAAACTATCAGTTTTCTTTCATTCTGAATATGACTATATTTATTTTGAACAAAATACCATCGAATACATGCTATTTTTGTTGCATGTATATTTGTTAGCCGATTATATTGTAGTAAATGTATATTTGCTATTAATGACCAGAACCTTTCACTTTCAGCTGATGTAGGTATACAGACATAATTTAAGCAGCAAAAATAGCTAATTCAGGTACTTCATTTTGAAGATTATTCCAAAAATATACAGGATTCTCAACTAAATAGTTATCCCAATTTCCATCAAAATCAAACGGATATGCCTCATTAGTCCAATCGATCAACTGCATTCTAAATCTTGTTATGTCCTTATTAGGAAATAAATATTCAAATAACAAACTGGCCTCTCTCTTAACAATAGTTGTAAGTTCTGGCCTGATGGCTCTCATACGAAAATATTTTGGATGAAGAGACCAACAAATAACAAACAATGAATTATACATTCTATTCCATCGGTATTGTATTTGTGCAACTATGTAGTGCCTAAAATCATCATCG